TGAAGCGGTATATAAGTCTAACTGCTATTGCTATTGCTATTGCTATTGCACTTCACCCCAAGCTCCCTCCCCATCCCCGCCCATCTTTTATTTCATATTGCTGAACTTTCATTGTTTTATTATTATATTTTTACATGTTTTATAATTTTTTCTATTATTGTAAGCCACCCAGAGTAGCCACATAGCAAGATGGATGACAAATAAATTTAATACAAAAATAAATACATAAATAGATTTTTACCCATCCCATTTTTGCCTTGGATACCCTAAAAAGTGAATCATCATATTCTGGGTGATTCTCCAAATGGGGAAGAATGGGGTGACTGAGGAAAGTGGATTCAGTAAAAATAAACTCTGTTTGCAGAAGCTGCCTCTCCTCTCCTGTCAGAGCCTCCTTAACTCAAATGCATATTTTTGGGGGGGAATGGAAGAAAAATGTGTAGCTATTTTAAGGAGAGAAGTCCTGGCCGTAACTGCTCTAAAACCCTTTATCAGCTTTAGATCCAAACATCTATTCCTGATGGAAAGGGGGTGGAACCAACCTAGTTCTTTAAACTTTTTGAAAATTCTGTGGAACTGTAAACTGAGTTTGATCATCTCAAAATGCTTACTGGCAGTCTGATCTTTAAGTTATATAAACACCTGTTATTTGGACATTTTGGTCCTGATATTATTGCCATGTCTGAAATTCTGTATTTGTTAAACATAACACCAGAATTAAAGAAGCTTTTGTGTTAGCATGCCTTTAAATAGGAAATGGGAGGAAGCAAATAAGATATTTACTATTTACTCAGTTTCTGGGTCTAGAATGTCTGATTTGTGAAAACACAAGAAGCTAGTTTCTGTTGAACTTAAATGCAGTTATGTAAAATTATTTTGCGCATGCACATTGGGCCCTTGTCACAAAGTGGTAAGCCCCTCTTTTGGACATCTCTGAATATTTGGACCATCCTCAGGGCTCAAAACAGCATTTCAGGATGAATAAAAATCATGCTACCCACAAGCTACCCACTGTATATCTCTAAATATATATAACAAATAACAAATAATACTATTTAATATGGATTTGTTACAAATCTCTGCTTGTTGATGCAATTCAAGAACTGAACCATTAACTCACATGGTCTGACTTTGCGATATCATTTTATAACCATAAGAATTATAAAACATTGGAAATAAAGCTACAATTGATTTGTGAAATAAGTTCCATTTACTGTACATTACTGAATATTGTAAGGACACTCAATTTTTTTTTTTTTTTTAAAAAGACAAGATACTTTTGAGCAATACGGACAAAATTTTTAAGCATCTTTTGCTTTCTCTTTAAAAATAACTTTATACCATATGTGGTATTTATACTGTTAATTCAGATCACATTAATTAACTTCAGGTCCAATGCATCATTACTCTTTCCTGCTTTCCATTATCACTTTTTTTTCCCCAAAAAAACAAATTTTGAAAAAGTAAGAATTTGACCTACTTGAGTTTAATCTCATCTGATGGTCGTAGTAATTCATTAGAGGTGCCCAATTTGGTAAGTGCAGAAAAAACCTGACCCTTCTCAATCCAAGCTGCGTCATCTGATCTCTCGATGCCTTTCCACATCACGCAAAGCAAAATATCTGTCAGAAGCTGAAGGAGATCTTCTTCACATGCCTAGTAAAAGCAGACATGCATTTTAAAATGATTACGGTATTTCTAAAATGCATGTTACTAACTTCATTTTCATTTCATTTTTTTTTTTTTCATTTTATTTGG